TTGAAAATGATTCGTAAATCGTAACTGGCCGTCCCGACTGGTTCAGGTTGTCCTGAATCAGCCATTTGTCGCTACCGACTTGGTTTTCGAGGGGTGCGTCCACGACAGGAATTCGAATTTGTCCTTGGCATTCTCTAGGATCGAGGAGGAGCTGGACTCCGTCTGCAATGTACGCTGCTGCTGAGGCGCCTCACGGGGCTCGAGGATGAGCGACCGGCGATAGAACGTCTGTAAACTCTTTTCACCGTTGGAACGAACCCGAACCAGCTCGTTCTGCATCCATGCCTGCAATTCTGGCACTTCCGTAAGGCGGTATGGAATCTGGAAGCGTTGCAATTCGCTGATGATCTTCGCCGTCTTCATGTGTTTATCAAAGTTGATCACGGCCATTTCTCCATCGTCCGTGGGTAGGGAGCGGAGCGGCTGGTTGCCGTGGTCGACAAACGTCAGGTCTGTCAAATAGGTGCCGACAAACGGCAAGCAAGGTGGCACATGGTTTTGGAGACGCTGACGAAGAACCGCGTAGTTTCGCGAGACGTCGACAATTACACGAAGAGACTCGAGAGTAGTCTTCGTCTTCTGGGACACAGCCTCCCATGTCCGCTTGAGACGCGAGATCATCGACGAGTTCAAAGAGCAGATGATGGCCATCAATGAGTCGTAGTTATTCAACTCCAAGCACTTGTTGGCGATCTTGACCCAGTGCTTGATGATAGCCGCACGCTTCTTCGGTTCCTCCAGCTGGAGTATCGAGTCCGCCACAAGGTGCGCCAAATCTGTTGATAAGGTTGACATGGCGCGGACATTGACCGCCAGCGAGGCGGACTTTTTCGTCCACTCGGTCGCAAGTAACTCCTCGGGTAGTATGGCGCAGAAGATTCGCGATTCCTTGATGGTGAATTGGCGAGCCAGTTCTAGAGGGTCGAAATCAAGAATTGTGATATTGCTTTCCCCACTCTTCCACTGCTTCAGTAGCGCCACTTCCTTCTTGCCCAAGATGGGCGGGGGAAGCGGGGTATCTGGATGAATGTATTGGGCAGTCGCAGTATTTGTTTTTCCCATGGAGGAAACCAGACGCGGCACGACCGGGCCATGAACCATCGAGACCTTCTCCGCAAGTTCCAAGAGGCGCTTGCTGGCAGTAGGCAGGTTGTATCTAAGATTTGTATTGGCGAATCCGGTGATGTAGTCGAGTGCAGTATTGTCGCAGTCATGTCGCCAGTGCGACTCGAGCCATCCCTTGAAAACATTGTATACACGAAGACGAACAGGACCTGCGGCGTGGGGTGTGTCACCAATGTAGTTGAACCGATCCACTAAAGTTTCGGCAAAGTCCAAAGGCGTCGCGAACAGGCGGAAGGTTAGGTAGAAGGTCGAAACGAACATGGCGTCCGGGGTTGACTGATGCGCTGTAAGTCTTTCGACAAGGGCACGAAGGCTGCCACCCATCACCTGACCATCTTTGAAGATCAGCTCGTGGGCGTAGGTTCGCTCAAGAACGTTGGCCTCGGTCTCTTCATGCTCTTCGGCCAGCGTGGAATGGCTCAAGCTGCCTCGCAAGCACGGAGTCTGGTAGCTGTTTCCGATATCTGGCGACGTAGCTCGTGTCGAGGTTTGCGAAACCCCGCTCATTTCTGAATCACGAAGACGGCTGTTGAACGTGAAGCTGCTTCCATTGCTTGTTACCCCACGGCCGAAAGATTCACTCGGCTCAGACTTGAGCTGACTATTCCGGTACTCGAATGGTTGCGTGTCATGAGAAGAGAATGAGAGTTTGTCCAAGCTCGACGAAAGGATATTTGTGGACTGGAATGACACGTCGGTGCTAGCGGCGGCTGGAGTGATTGCTCCACCACGCGATTGGAAAGAAGAGGGGGTGCTGTCATCAGTCAGTCCTGGTGGAGAGGAGGAGTAAGCAGCATCAGTCGAGTTGGGGATCTGCAAAGGAGGAGGGGGCAATCGAAGTGAGACATCCTGTGGGCGGGTTGAGTTGCTGTCGAAAGCGTCAGGCTGCGGGGGCTGCGGAGTCAGGTTTAGGTCTGGCAGCATTATCGCCGCAGGGGCCGTATCTTGCGGCATGGCCTCGAGCTCAAAGTCGCCACACTCCTCTAGCATCAAGCGCGCTTTGGCCAGACAGTTCCCCGCCGCGCGGACACAGTCCGTGGCAGCATCCACCAAGCGCTTCCCCTCATCGGGCAAAAAAACTAGTTCATCGTCGGGGGAGTGAGCTGGGCGGAAGGCGTCCCGCGCAGCGTACACTAATTCAGATAGACGTTCGTACATAGCGTCTCTGGCTTGCTCCAACAACGCACTGCCCTGTGGGTCATGCTCACAAGCGGCCTCGATGACGGTTAGTAAAGCCCGGCAGGCGCGCACGGACTGCTCCGTGGTCACCACTAGTTCCGTTGACGACCGGGACTGCAGATGTAAGCCAATGAACGAGCCCAACACGCCAAGAAAGGCATCGTATGACGAGTTCAGTCGCTCCGACGCTAGATTGAGATTCCGGGCCGCGGCAGCGGGTCCCGAGTACGACACTCGGTGGGATATGGAGATTCGTTTGGTGGCCACCGAAACAGATCGTGCCGGCTGCGCATCGTCCATGTGGGTGGATGCTCGACTCATGTCTAGTCGGCTGCGGTTGAGCAATCTGGACTCGTTCCGCTCAGTCTCCCCCTCTGCCTCGGAGTAGGCAGTTTCCGCTACTGGCTTCGTCTCGGTGGTCGTTCGAGGCGAAAGGTCGTAGCGTGTTGATTGTTGCTCCAATTCGGCGATCGTCCTACTCAATCCAACCTCTTCATTCCACACGTCGAGGAAACGAACGCCACGAGTCACAATTCGAAATGCCTTGAGCAGCATCTCATCCACCAAGTAGTCAATATCATCCTGCATCGTACTTTTGGTCGCAACTTCTTGGAACTTCTTGGTTGTTCGGACCAGAGACGATAGATCCGCCAGCAACCCTTTGCGGTTCCTGCGCAACCCGTCATGGTTAGTGACCAGCATGCAGTCGCGGGTCAGGCATTCGGATTTTTGCTTGAGTGATGTCAGCCGAAAGGGGACACTTGATTTGCATGGCAGAAACCTACCAAGAGATAGCGAACCCCGGCAATCAAGCCTCGCACAAGGTCCTGATTGCCGGTCTCATTTATGGCAAGCCGGCACCCGCCTCGAATGATATCCCAGAAGTCAGTCAATGCTTTGAGCAGCGGGCGCATTTGTTGTTGATCATATGCTTCGCAATAATTCGTGGGTAACCAGCCCCTGGCGCCTGTATCTAGCAGGGTGCCATCGGCCCAGCCATTGGTGTGAACGGAGTGAACAAGGATAATGTCGCCCTGATCCAGCGGGAGGGTGACAGTTGACGGGGATACATTGCCCGACGGGTGGTAAGGGTAGAACGCGCGAAGATAATTGTGAAAGACATTCCTCGGTTTTTCCGAGTTGTCGTCTCCCCCACTGTAGGGCGTCAAAGGAGGGCTCATCTCGAGGCGATGTTGAGCCGAATAGGAGCGGTTCATGTGAAAGTTCGAGTGCCCTTTTTCGATTTTTAGGGGGGCAATATGTCGTTTGGGTGATTCTGGAGGATCCATTCTCACTGCGGTACGCTTTGCAGCGATAGTCCAATGCCTCTTTGAGTTTGAGTGTAGGCTTGGTCAGACGCAGACGCACAGGTCACTGCCCAACTCTTAAGCGGATGGAGAAATGGAGAGCATTTCCAGCTAGGTCGTAATGAAGTGCAGTGCGAACAGCCCGTCGAACGTTGAATTCAAGAAGAGATCATACCAGCGGACCAAGCCAGGCGGGTGATCTCGAAAGATTAACCGGTCGAGGTTACGAAAATCGTGATGGAAACCTGTCCAAGGGGTTAGTCAGAGAGCACAGGGTGCGAGCCTTTCACCCACGTCAGTAGTGACGGCGTGCTTTTCTTGGTAGAGGGCTGGCAGGAGTGTTTGGGAGGATGTTTGGGAGGGGGTGAATGGTTCTGCATATCTCCCGGAGAATGCCCTAATCCTGGGAAGAAGCCTGGAAGGAATGCTGGGGAAGGGCAACCGGTTGCTAACGCACCTACGACGCGATCTCGAAGAACGAAGGATCTGATGAAAGGAGCGTGACGGTGAGAGTACAATGAAGATTGGTGGTTCGAAGGGCGAGTCGATGGAGTGCCAGTAGTTAAAGACACAATCCTTGATGCCGGATCAAAAACGAGGAGCGAGGTTGCGCACGAGGGCGGGGAGATTGCAGTGCTTTCGAAAGTAGGGACAACAAACAACCATTCCCAAATAAGGGAACGGTAGGGCGAATAACAGCCGCGGGCTCTCAAGGTCTCGATTGCCGAAGTCAATTTCTTATTTTATTGCAGGGACCAGCGTGCAACGAGGGTCGTGGTGGAGGGGTTTCAAACGCAAGGACCACGATGCGACCCCAAAAAGGACAGGGCAAGTTGAGCAAGACCTTCCGGGCGTGTGAGCGAGAGCACGGTCCGGACAACGAATGCGAGGTCGATCGACGCAGATTGCAGTGACAATGACGACAGAGCGCGAGCGCGATCGTTTGAGGCGGGTTGGTTGAGGAGACACGCAAGGGCCGTGTCGAATCTAAGACAGGACAGAGCCAGTAGCACCACTGAAAGAGCCCAAATGAATGCGATGCAGACCGTAACGCCCGAGGATGTAGATTTGGTATCGAGTCTTCCAATTGCCACCAGCAGCAATGATTGAATGAATGATCGCAATCTCCACGGCGGTGGGTGGTCGCAAGACGACTGACTGCAGGTATAATATTTATGCAATGCGGCACAAGTAAATGCGGTATAGTAATACAGTAAGTAAGCTGAGATCTGTACTGAAGAGGGAACGAAAGGGAAAGGAAGGTCAATAAAACAGCGGCGGAAAGAGAGAGGGAGTGGGAGTGAGAAGAAGAAGAAGAAGAAGAAGAGAGAGTTGTGTGTGTGTGTATGTGTATGTGGAGGAGTGGACGATGTAAAAGTGATAATATGAGGGGGGGGGGGGGGTTGAAAAGAGTTTCCAGGTTAGAAGAGGGAGGAGCCCAAAGTAGCAATTGAGGAGGGGGATCGGACAGAGGCAAACCACCGGGCCAGGAGTTCTCCAGACTCCAAACTAGATCACAGTAGTGTAGGCACTTGTAAATGTCCTACTATTTAGTCGTTGATATTTTTTAATTTTCTTTTTAGTTAGTTCAGAGGTTTAGTCGACGAGGTGACGGGGTCTAGAGAGTTCTAGGAAGGCGAATAGTGGCTCCAAAGGTGGTTTATTCAGTATGCACAGAACCGGTGGATATTCCAGCAGCACATCCCTGACTCAATCGAGACGTGGAGCAGGCGATCGGTTCCCCGTATGTGGGTTTCTTTTGGGTAAAAGGACAAGAATTTGGAGTAGGCGATCAAGAGACAATAGAAAGAGTGAGATTATTGAGAGTATGTGTATGAGTGAGAAGAAGAAGAAGAAGAAGAAGAAGAAGAAGGTTACTATACAATTGGCCCTTTATTTAATGCAGTACATAGTAACTTAACCTGGGGACTCTATAGTCTGTAGTCCGTCTGTAGTCCGTCTGTAGGTAACTTAGTGGTAAGGCAAAAAGAAAGGATGAAGGATTGTGATAAGGATAAACCATCCCGGCCTGTCAGAATCATTACTGTTAATATGTCTCTCTCCCCATGGCCTTGTCACATTGCGCAACACGTCTCTCTACAGTATTTCCCGTGCACTTTCCCCGGCTCCAGTCTAGAGCATACCCTTTTTTTTAACTTGTCTTTTCTCCAGTTTTCTTATTTTTTTATTTACTTCTATTTTACTTTTCTTTTCCCATTATCTCTATTGCTCCACCTCTTCTCAATCTCAAAGATTACTTGTCTCTGATGTTACTCCCCAATTTCAAGGATCCTTTTTTAAATTCTCCCATTCTAGGTTGATCTGCTCTCTTGGCCGCCAGATGCAGCTAACCTTTTGAGTCCCGCCTAAACGGTTAGGATCTGCCTGCCGCAGCCCAGGCAGCTCTTCCCAGCACCAACCCTGATATCATGGAGGTGCTCCCTATTGGTTTCAAACTGGGCGTGATGGGCTCAGGGCATACGGAATTCGATCCCGATGCTTGTGCTAAATTAATTATTGCCAAAGATACTTGGTAAACCTCGATAATGTGAACCTTTAGCTGCAGCGAGTCTTCCTAAGCGGCATATGAGATGCTTAGCTCCAAGCCTGAGGTACTGTACCTACCTAGTAGTGTACGTACTGTCCCTCGCCCAGACAGTGTGATGACGGATTGCCTGATCAGGTAACAAGCTCCCGGGCGGCGGAATGATGGTGATTGATCAAGAACAATGCGTTTCCCTCGATTATGAGCAACGGTCGCCATCAGTAAGAGAGTTAGTCTTCCGTACTTTGTGTGGAGGTATTAGTACTAATTGAACTTGTAACCTAGCAACTGTGACTGTGCCAGATGGAAGAAAGGCCCTGGAGGAAAACGATAAAAAAAAAAAAAAAAAAAAAAAAACCAAAGAGAAAAAAATAAGATGAGAAGGCGAATACATTGGCGGATACATTGGCGAATACATATGTACTAAAATAAGAATAACCACGGGCCCATCCCCTGGCCACTCAGCAAACAGAATACAAATTAATGTTAATATCAGCAATTAATTGCTCCCTTTTCCTGGATGCAGGATGCAGTCATCTAAGCCGGTTTTGCGCTGTCCCACCGAGAGGTGTGTGTGTGAGAGTGTGAGATGACCTGCATTGATGCCGACAGGGGGGGGGTCCGTGTAGTGGTGGTGGTAGTGGTACTTTTGGGAAAGGAGGGAGGGAGTGGAGCAGAAGCGGCCTGTCTGTGACTGCCCAGCATCTGGGGCCAGGCACCTTTTTTTTTTGGCTTGGGGTTTCTCGGTCTCTCTCGGTCTCTCCCTTCCTTCCTTCCTTCCCCCCTTCTCTGTCTACCTCTCTGCCACTGACTTCGATAAACTCTTAGACTCAAGAAATTGGGTCACTCACCGAATTTTCATGTTCATATCTAACCTTCAAAAACCTAACTAGCTGGTGGTCTGGCAGAAGCTTATGATGTGGAAATCTTTGACTCTCCCAGGAGCCCCAGGCCACCAAAATCTCCATGGTGGCAAAGCTAACTTACCGTGTAAACTACTGATTCCCTTTCGCAATAGTATACATAGTATTTACTCCTTTACTTCCCGTGGACTCTCTGGCATGGCACTCCCGGGAGGATGATTCTCTTGAATTGCCTCAGCTCCTTTCGGTAGAAGAAAAAAAGCCAGATACTATCCAGAGGGCAATAGTAAGTAGAGCACAGCACATCAAGGTACCACCGGTACAACCCCCAAAGTCACAATCATCAATAAAGCCAAAAATTGGGGTCTTGGTTCCAAGGTTCCCGGAGAGCGCGCGGTCGGCAATGACAGTTTCCATACCATTGGAACCGTACAAGTACTCCGTACACTGATCACGATATCCCGGTAACTGTACTCCGTAAACTGTTGTTGATCGGCCCATAGTAGGCAATTTAAACTCCGGGAAGTCCCTCAATCGGGTCGTACTTCTCTTGCCTTGAGGGGCTGATGTGTGCGCCGTGAGAGAAATTCTCCGTAGCCTTTGCTTGAGATACACTATCTGTCTCCTGGTGTCTGTGATTTGTTATTTGTCCATTGTGGTCATGAATACATTTTGCCATGTGGTTCACTGGGCATACATCTCGATGGCAGTCTCAATATTTGGCTAGTGATCATAGCTGACAATTCGACCGCACGGCACAGTTTATCCTCACTAGTGGTAGAACAAGCCCATTCATGGAAGCATGTTAACTTTAACCAAATCCCACTCCGGTCTTCCGCCGAGAAAGCACCGCGCACAGTATACTGGAATATTGCCTCACTGTTGGAGTTGGACAATCAGTCGGATGGAAAGATGGAAGAAGAATTGCGACCGCAAGTTCTGGGAATGAGCAAGTACTGTACTGTGTACTCCGTACCTCGTACGAAATAGATAGATTCACAGCGCCACTTGGGAATCTAGTGACACGTCGGATGTCACCGAATAAAGAAGGGAAGGGAAGGATACATCTTGACCCACCATAGCTGAACTCCCAAGGACGTGGCAAATGTACGTGCTGTACTCTCTGTGCTGCACATAGTAACTTAGTTAGTACTTCCGTCGTTTCACGCATATCCTGTTGCTAGACATGGACCACATGACTCGATTGAGCGACGACCGAGACAGCTATCGCAAGGATAACAAAGGAAGTTGTTTGTTGCTCCACTCGATATCAGACCAGTCAACGTCAAGAAGTGTAAGTGTGTCCAATGAACGACCATGTGTTCTCCCGTACCTGCAGGTAGTAAACCATGTCTAGGGTGCAGCTCGCTACCAAGCCCGATGGACAGCAACTTACTCCGTACCACCCTGATGTCTGCCGGCAGCAAAGCTCACTCTCGAGACGATCGCACCACATCCCGGCTATTTGTCAGTGACTCCATCCAGGAATGTGCCTTGTACTGTACTCAGGTCCGATGCAATGGTTCGTATTCATCCGTCCCTTGACACCTCCCCCTTCCCACCTCGGATCGTCGAGGGCCATGGGTAATCGGCAATGCAAGGGCAACGGTCTGCTCAACTTTCAGATAGCCTTTGAGGTTTGTACGCTGCGATAAATGGAGGAACTGCATTGCTCAATTATGCATCGAAGCCGATCGGCCTTATGTTCTCTCTTTCGGTGGCGTGATTCGAATATGGATAGTGTTGAACTTTAATGCCATGCGAGACCGCCGCCTCCGTGGTCGGCCCGGCAATCATTAGGAGAAGCTCGCCGGAGCCTGACTGACAGCTGACAGACAACCTACGTAGCTGGAAACTACCAGGCAGGTACTAGTTGGCTAGAGGTATTGGAGGTGTAAGTGGTATAGACACCATTCTCTCCTTTGGCCGCATTCGTCCACATATGACACTTACGAACTCGGTTCCCGGGTCTGATCGCCACAAGCCACTCAAAAGGTAGAATTGCGGAGAAGTCGATCATGTCCCAGACACTCCAGATCCTTTTTCGGACCTTGCGTCGACGGGAGAGACTCTACGTAATACCGTATGGGGTAACTAAGCTCCACGGGGTTCATGGTGATGTCCACTGGAGGCTACCCACGCAAGCAAAAGAAATAGTCGTCCCCGTGCTGATAAGGTTCGTTCTGCTAAGGGACGGACAATCCGACGGCATATCAAGCCTTACCACTAACTACGGTACCCATTACCCAAAGATACCCCGTATTCCAGTCAAAAATGTGACAGGTCGCAACTATCACCACCCGGATGGGATGGCATCGACGAGGCTGTGATAGGTGAAGGTAGCGCGGGTTGATAGTGCGTGTCAAAGCGTCATTTTGTGCTTTCGCAAGCAAGAGATGTTGAAGTAGAGCCTTGGAGATTGGATGACATCCCATTGTTGCTCCATTTGCATCAAGTCCAGACCCAAGTAGTGCCAGGCTGAGTCCAAGATGACCTAAGATGCCGCTAAAGGATGATCTATACTCCAAAAGGGACGCACCAATGAGTTTAGTGTCAGTAGATCACAATCCTCCAGGATCAGACAAAGAGCTGCCCATCATCCAAACGAGAAAACAAGCCGGTCGGAATGATGGTTCCGAATGAACCTAGGAACAACACGTGCTCGTCGTTGCATGCGGGACTAACGATGGGAGGCCTAGAAGCGATTGGGCCAGAGGCCAACGGTGAGGGTCAGTGCTGTTTGGGATCCTGAGTGACCACTGATAACGATCGACCGTTGACCAGACTCTTGCACTTGAGTATACAGCCATAACATTGCAAGATACGAGGATGGAGGTAACTGCAAAGAGACTTTCTGTAGTGAATTGTGTCGAGAGAGTTTGAGGGCCAAGATCGATCTTGGGTCCTGAGACAGAGTCAGGAGGGTGGTGGAGGGTGGTGGAGTGTGGTCATGGGAAGGCTGGGAGCCTCCACAATCCAGGCCGCTTACGACTGAAGCAGCATAGACCAAAGATGAAGAGTACTCGAGTATACTCCGTAGGTACTACTGAATACCAACGGTTTCACACTGCGCAGAGACTTCGCAGCCTAATTGTCCGTCAGCTTCCGCTCATCCTCCGTCATTCGTGCTCAGGGACGGGATCTGCTGTCAGAGCGAATTACCGAGACAACTGCGTCCCCCACCGCGGAAGCCGTACTCTACCGCTCTATGCGTAGCGACACGGGACGGCGCGACATGGCGTAAGTGCTTCTCCTTGATCTCCTTTAGCCTGGCCAGATTAGAACAATGATTGAACGGAGGCGGACTCGGAAGGAATGAGAGACCGCCCGGAGGGATAGGAGACACAGGCGGTGTGCAGTCCGCGTGTCATCGGTTGAACACAAGACATTGCTTGTGTCTTTTGTGCTGCTGCTGCTGCATTCCGTTCTAGTTATCGTTGTCTCCTCCGATTAAAGGAAAGCGGGGAAGGAGGTACGCGACAATGGTTAGAAGAGACAGATAGGGGTAGGAGGAAGGAAGTAGAAGAGTCCGACTCAGGGGCTCAAGAGAAGGAATAACAATCCCCACCCATAGTCGTTGTGAAAAGTGAAAACATCCACACACAAGGCAGAATCATATCGCGACCGAGATCTTGTATGCCTGGTATCTCAGGAATCAATCACGTGTCTTGTCTCACTCAGTGGTCTGGTCGACTTAAGATATCCCTCTCGAAGCTGAGTCCGAGTAACGTTATAGTCATTTCATCCGTTTCCTAAGATACTCAAATACTCTCATACTCACTATCATAACAACTGCTTGGACTGTGTTTGACCAGCGAATAGTCTAGTCCTTCCCCAGCCAAATATGGGCCGTACAGTACAGATTCACTGAAGGATTCCAGCATTGGTTCTACGGTACGAATTTTTTGCCACCTGCGGATTATTCGATATATCGAATTGAAACTGACTCAATACTCCGTAGAACCTTCGAAGAATTCAGGTTCAGTGGCCCCCTCTACTCCATCTCTTTTGTGGAGCCGCTCCCCGACCATTGGATCCCATCTGGGTCACGAACTATGGGTCTGCATCGAGTTTCGAAGTTCTGATCTGGCTTCACGCAATGGCGCGAAGAATGGAGCTGGGGAAGCTCGGGGCATGGAGGGCGTGGTTCCAAAGCAGCTCCTGTTGACGAACAGCATGGTGGTTGTCTCCTGTACCCACGCTTGGGCGTCAAAGGCACGTACGTAAACCCGGGATTATCAAGCTTGTGTTTGCCGCTCAGGAGAACATACGAGTCAACACATGTACCTGTTTCAAAGGAGGCAATCGAAGCCAGCAACCTCAACGAAGATGGTGCAATTCACACGCATCCACGCTCGGCTCGGGGAACGCATCACCGGCAGCAGATTGTGGATGGGTGGATCCTCACCTTCAGCTAGTGCCGAGCAGTATGCCGACGAACGCATTAGTGATGAACACGGACCAATGCCTCGCGTGTATCTCCACTCATTGCTGATCGCTCAATCCTGCACGAGCGACCGCGCGACGTGAAGAATCAGGGTCGGCATAGGACAAATTGGGATTCTGCATGTGTACGTGAAGTCTTGGGTTTCGCGCCTGGGCGGGCTGCCTTGATAGGATATTCAGCCGAAGGATCAGCGTATACTTATTTGGTAGCTGTCAGTTTGCTATGATCGGACAGTGTGGAGTGCAGACAGGGCTGGCTGCACTAATGAACGGAAGACTTGCTGGGTTTGGCTTGACCTGCGGTGATGATGAGAAGCAGGGTGCGACTGAAGCTGCCGTCAATCAAAGCATCCCTACATGCTTGAGGTTGCGGTGAGAGATGTCAAGCATCACCATTGTGATACCATTGTGATCGAGACCCTTGTCGTACAAGCAATCCGGACTCGATATCAATACCGCACGACGGAAAACGGGACAGGTCAGAGCGTGCTGCAAGACTATCTGACCCCCAGTAGTCTCATCTTCAGAGGCTGAAGAAGACCTTGAGAAGAAGTGTCGGGTCTGCCGGTAAATATTCCGTGACTGGGAGTCGCCTTCTGTCTGGTTACATTGTTGGAAGACGCTGCTCAACATTGCAGACCAGCACTTGCCGGCCGTCGGAGGCTAGAAGTAAGACTAATGCAGCTCTTGCATCGGGAGAGGGGCCATGGCAAATAAGTCAAAGCCCAAGCACGAGTAATCGTGCAGACTCACTCGTGGAAGAATTGCCCACTGGAAACGGGACAATCGACAGCTGCTGCCCCCTTTCACGTGCCGTGTGACTTGGAATGCAGAGGAGAGTGCATTGTCACATCGGGGCGGGGGCTTGTTGCACACTTAGGGCGATCGGAGTCGAGATAATCGAGCTAACCTTCCCTAGATAACATCAATTCGTCAGTGGTTTGCAATTGTGCAGCATGCAGAAAAGAAGCTGCAGAAAACTTGGAAGTACGCGTGCGCGGAACCGGTTGCTACAGATGTAGTCCTGCAGTGTCCGACTTGATCAATGTTCAAGCAAACATGAAGAATCGGGCTTAAATCTACAAAGTACCCACATTAAGGTATGCTTCGACATACTTGGACAGCTTAAAACTTATCAATTATCAGGAGGATGACCTGGCGCGACTCGCCCAGGTAAACTCCCGGAACGCACCCGAGGTTCTCACTAACGCTATGACCCACGATTTAGAATGTACTTGGGGCAATAGACCACCTGATTTTAATCATTATTCTTCCATTACCATAGACAGTTCAAAGCTTGGTGAAAGCAATCGCGTAAATCCGAGAATTATCCTACGCGTCAACTCCAGAGACACCATGCAAAAACACCATACATACCTCCCCCCTCCGTCTTTCCCTCAATGCCACTCCCTTGTTTGAAGGTATTCCCCCCCACCACCCCTACGCCTTCATCCCTTTCCTCCAAACTGATTTCAGGAAAGCAGCATAAGAAGGCCTACAAGGTCAATCTGATGAAAGCTCTTCCTGTCTTCCACCCCTGCGATGCGGCACACACCCTTTAGAAATCCCACTCCTCTCCTGCCAAACCACGAGCCTTACCACTCTCCCCTTTGTGAAACTCAACCCCTTCCACAAAACAAATGATGGAGGTCTCTCTCACATCCCTCATCACCACGGTCCTGACCCTCACTCTCGCATCAACCGTCGTCGCCCTCCCTCTCCCCGAATTCCTTCCCTGGGCGCTTGTGGATACCGTCTTGCCGGGCTCGGGGATCCCCAAAGCCGTGGGAAAGCTGGGGACAGGGTTTCAGTGATGGTCTGTAGCCCTAAGGGCCAAGAAACGCGAGGTGAGGATTTAGTTCCGTTGTGTGAAGGGGTGTGGGTGGTCTACATTTAGCTGAGACGTTGAGATTTGGATTCTAGTTTAGGAAACACGTCGCGAGAATGATCCCAGGACACTGGCAGCTGGGCTAGTAGTTCAGTATTTACGCTATCAAGAGACTGACGGACCATGATGAGCTCAGGCAAAAGTGCTGGACTAGATGGCTGACCGATCAATTCGCAAGGGAAACGGCGAGGGCAACCTTACAGTTGGCCCACAGGCAATTCATATCGATGTGGAGGATGTATATGTAACACATTTGGCGAATTGGTATCTATGCGAATAGCCGTTACGGCAGGATACTTGTCGCTCCTTGCTAGAGTTGTCACGTTTCTCCCTCAGGGTAAGTGGCATTTCTTCTGTGGGAGCTTGATGGGTAGCCTGGTGGGCTGATCATACACTGGAACCAGGAGGTCTGATCTGCATGTACGCAGAATGGTGCTTGGCAAGAGGAGATCACAACTTGAGTTCGGGGCGCAGAAGGTACAATGCAATGCTCGATGCTAAATAGTCGACCCACGACGGACACCGTACTGTACAGCCCATCTTGGACAGCCTCTATTAGAATAGACCTTCCATATCCAAGTCAAGAAACTCTGGATTCCCAACCGCCATATCAGCAGCGTTCAAAACATCATCAATACTCGTATCCAGTCCACTCGACGATTCAAGTCCCATACCACCCATGGTCTGACCTCCGTCCATTCCCACCGCAGCCGCAGCCGCCGCATTTTCCAACATGCGATTGAGATTTGCCGCGTCGTCATCAGTGACACCATGCCCGGATGCTCCCTGTGAGTCGAGATCCATCTGCCCAGGGCCTCCGACGCCAAGCTGCATGTGCTGAATTATATTATTCATATCCAAATTTGGGACCTGGGCCGGTGGGGTCATGAGTGCGTTTACCCGCCGATACAGCCGGACGATGACTTCAGCGCGTAATGGATCCTTTTCGGAAATCTTCGGTATGTTGTCATGAAGTAGATTGAGAGCGCTCCGGAGGGTGAGAATCGGGCATCGTGGGAAGGATTCTTTGGTAGGATCTAGGGGCTGGTGAGAGTGATTGTTCTGGTCGATGGCAAAGTACTCGGCCATAGGTGCGCAAATCAGCGTCGCTGAAACATCGAGGGCTATATCACCGCTGCCAGTCTCGGTCTGCAACTTGAGTTCTTCAACCAAGGCCCCTAGAACGCGCGTGGCCCCAAGAAGCAGAACGCCAGTCACGAGTTGTCGGTGCGTGTAAGAGTGCGGTGCAACACTGACGTGCGGACTTGCGCTCCACAGTACAAGGGACTGGAAGGCACTTCGTATACTGCCTAGAAGCCCTCCAGGCGAATGTGATGTCCACGAGTCTAGCTCACTCCGGTGACAGCTGCCGCTTCGCTCGAAAGATAAGCATGGTTCGAGTGCATCAAGGATCGGCTTGATGTCCGTACGAGACGGGTGTCGGGCGCGGACATCCTTCAATTGTTCCTCCAGCCCGCGTGCAGTCATGTTCAAGACGGTGCGATGTATCTCTTTGGCTTCGCCTGATATCGAGGTGGGATTGATCAGGGAATGTAAAGCTTTCAAGGGGATCGAAGGGTCGCCCTCCGTTTCCCATATGTGGTTACCCAGCCAATTTAAGGCCAGAACAAGCGATGGAAGAAGAAAAGGTTCGAGGAGATCTAGTCTGTGTCAGTCTAGTTCAAAACGCACGTTAACGGAGGGAATGCATTACATTCAGCTCCACCTTTGAGTGTGTCGAATTCCAATTTCCCGGCCTCGCACGCCCCAAGACTTTGGCTGAACAGAGTAGCAACAAGAAGATAAAACTCCTGCGGGCTACATGCCGACATTGTCTCTTCGCTGATGCCTTCGGCGATGAATAAAGCCGTGATCCAGCCCCCCAAGTTCTTGTTTTGCTTGTCGGTCAGAGAATCCAGTTTCTGACTGCATGAGCCACTCCCAAGAATTTGCAGAAAAAATGAATTGCTGCCACCAAGTCCAAGGTCCTGTGCTCGCAAGCCATACCGATATGTAAAGGCGAGCACTAACAGTAAGATGCTACCAAACTCGTCGTAGACAGGCTGGCTTTCTCCTTGATCCTCATCCCAATGCCAGGCATCCAGCAATGAGCACAACGGTTGCAGCACCTGTTTTGTGCTTCGAAACAACAGAATGACATCCATAGCCTGGGGCCGGCGAGAGAGTGAGTTGCAGATATTCTTCAATGTCATCGTTTCCTTTTGATTGCAAAGGTTGTGCATGACCTACGCACGTCAGCTAAGGTTTCGCAAATTCTCAATTCGGAAAGGGTTCGAGGGTCCGTACCTCGATGATCGCGCCAACGATTGCACCGGCGTTTCCCTCCATCGACTCGATCTCACCTATCAAGTGCTCGGCTCGTTCCGGGTTAGCATTGATCTGGTTGACAAGATCATCTTTGTTATACGGCCCCCCTACAGGGAGTGTTTGCATAGGATTTTCTCCAAGAAGTCGCTCGATGCTGGATTCAGGGATCAATTTGTGCGAGGCGCAAGCGAAAAGAAATTCCTGCCTCACGTCCGAAAGAGCAGTGTTGCTTTGCATGGTAAACATCTGCGAAAAGGATGGAAACGTATTTGGATCTAGTCGACCCAGCGCATGACTGATACATAGTTCCATCTGTAAGGTAACCATAGATGCTGCCAGCATGGCGGCAAAAAAGGCAGGTAGTTTGTTCACGAGGAACGATCGAAATAGAAACATCGACCGGTTGGACTCGCTACGGTAGCTTGCGTTCGAAAGCACGTCAAATGCTGCCGTGATGGTTTCCTCAATAAGAACTTCATAATGACCCTAGTGCAGTTAGTGCGATTGTAGCGCTGCGCCTTGGACAACCCACTCACCCCATATCTGTTCGACAAGTAGTTCAGAAGCATGCTGTCATCAACCAAAGGACGTCCTACCAGCTAAAACCTAGTCAGTATCAAGCTACTGAACGTGTGTGACGTATACGTACCATCGCATTGATATAGACGAAGAGGCCAGCTCTCGAATTGATCATAGGACCGTCCATAACTGACGCCTCAAACTGAAGCGCATTGACGTTGACACCTTCCATCATCGAGACATCCAACGGCTTAGCCGGAAGTTCACCGTAAAGGTTGAACTCTTTCTGCAGGCTGTCAAGTCGATTACGAAGTGGTAGTGATACTTCAACACAGATGGGAAGGTATGCCGACAGAGCCTGTCCCAGTTTTACTTTCAAGGCTGTATTATCCTGTCAGTAGTGGAATAGTGAAGCATGGATATCTGAGCCTACCTTCCTGGGAGTCGGCTGAAAGGACCTCAAGTCCTTTCGTAGTGCCCGACAACGCAGCAAGCAAGATACCCAAGGACTCGAACAGCGAAACTGCGTCGGGAGAACTGATTAAGCCTGGGTTCTGATGACCAGAGTCAATATGACTGCTGTTCCAGGCCACAACAGCTTGGATCCAGTCGATGATAGCGGTGAAGATTGATATCGCTTCTGAAAATGACTTGGGGACACTGCCGGTAGAGACGGACAGCATAGCATCCTGGACAACTCTGATGTCCGTCATAAGAGTGTAGCAACTTCGACTCTTCTTGCCCGGATAGACCTCCACCGATGACGATTGATGTTTGTCGTGGATTGAAGAATGCTTTAGAAGGGCATTCAACACGGTCGACGTCTGGACAAGGCCCATCTTGCAAAGACAGTCTATGTACAGCGGAAGAAGCGGGTCCCACTTGATCCCTGTGCTAAGTCGCGTCTCGAGTAGCACATCTAGCAGTAGGGCTTCAGTGATTGGGCAGCGCTGCAGCAGTAGTCGCGATAGGCTTTTGAACTCTGCTGCGTCGATTCGATGCAACAAGCATCGATGGAGGAAAATCCCCCATTGTTCGGAAGAAGTCATGTTCCAGATCGATCTGCTTGATTCGCTTGATACTCGGGGATTGCGGGGAGCATAGCACAAGTAGCAGTGTGGAAGCTTCGATTCATACAATAGAGTTGACTACCCTGGCATTATTGCTCGACATCGCGACATGGTCTGTCCCCGGGCTTGTTGATCCCGGGAGACAACTTTAGCTGCAATCATTGTTTAGACGTCAGGTGCTCATCACGTGGGCTTATGTAACACATGTATCACGTGACTTGACTGTGGTCACGTCACTGCGCCGCACTGGCATCGTATGTGACAAACAAGCATCCGCTTTCTTTTAGATACTTGCCGACCGGACGGAGAGCGGTCTCGTACGCGGAGGCCTTCGCAAGCGTGTATTTGTCAAGACTTTGAAAACATTGGCGATGCACCTCGATATCTGAAACAACAAGCCGGAGACGGCTGGATCTGGAGATAAAGCCGGCATCCATCGTAGATATATCCTATCCACCTCAATAATGACGCGTCGAAGCATATGGATCTCCAATGGCATGAATCATGTATGCTCCAGTGAGAAGGGCGTTAAGGACAACACCTGGATGACAGACACACCCGGTCCCCTTGAGGTCAGGTTGCGCCTGTGTTTTGCAGGTACTGTTCTGTACTACCTACTACAAGACCCAAGGTCATTTCCGACGTCTCGGAGTTTGACCGTATGGCGTCGGAACTGAGGGTCTGCCGTCGGGAGCTTCCCAAACGAGAAGAAGACAAAAAACAATCGTGGACAGTACTTAACAGTATAGGTACTAGGTTGTGACAGTACAGTTTCTTCAGGTACCGATTCTGCCCCTACCTCTTCATGATAAATATTACAGTTACACCGAAAATAGATATCTCGTCCGAGTCTCGATCTAGGTTGGTCAGAAGACGATCATGCACTCTGTATGGGTAATCATCACTGCACTCGAGCTCATCAGCCATATCTAGGGAAGCTGGACTCCGGGGGCTAACGATTCATTGCCATTAGCTCTTTGATAGCTTCGGCACTCAGCCGTAAGAGTTGGGGCCTGGAGGGGATGTTTCCGTTCGGTTGCTTAGGGCTAGACCGTTGTGAGGTATTATTTCCGGTTATAATGTCATTGGCTCTTAAATCGCATCGAATAGCACCCCAACCGCCACTTTGCAATATGGCCGTAGATCATATCCAATCATTGGTGTGTCTGACTCGCCAGGCATACTATAATGGGGCCGCATGGCTTGCGTGCTTTATGATAGATAGAATGCCGTAGCAGTCATAGGCATGACCAAATATCGACCTTGGTTCTTGGTCAGCCTGCCAACATAGGGGTCGGGTTAGGGGATCGCTGGTTAGCTTCGT